CGGGGGTCTCCTGCTGCGTCCAGGACGCCTTGTGTGGACCACCTGGCCTAGAAGGAGCCCCCGAGACCCCCGAGGGCTGCAAGCCCAACGAAGGTTGGTTTCTCTTTGCAGAGCGAAGAATTTTTTTGCTCCTCCTGCTCTTGCCAAATTCTTCACATTCCTGATTCCGGGAAGAGTCGGGGAGTTCCTGCATACCATATGCCACCTGAGGCAGGTTGCGTGGGAGCTCCGGCATGGCGTGGGGTGGGGGGAGGAACGCTGCAGCCACTGCCTGACCGGTTGGGTGGCTGGGTGTGAAAGGAGGGCAGTCTCGGCTTTTCTAGCGTGGCTTAATCCAGGGTTTCTTAACCAGAAGGGCTCCTGTGCGTTGATCAGTTGGCTTCCGAAGGAGACCCAGGGCCAGGAAAAGCAACAGAGGGAGAGCACAGAGGTAGGAGGACTCTTTCGGGGTGGCTGAGTGAGTGTTGCATGCAAACGTTCTCCCCCCGATGATCGATCTGTGGCCCCTGGAACGCCTCTTCCAAATCAGATCCAGGGAGCCGGGCTCAGGATCGGGGCTGAGTTTCAAAACGGGAGATTTTTAGTATTTTTAGTATTTTATTGTCACTTATAGGCCGCCCTTTTCCCTGAGGGGACTCAGGGCGGCTTACAACTCATNAATATGCTGACTCTCTGTAAACCGCTTAGAGAGGCCTGAAAGGCCTATGAAGCGGTATATAAGTCTACTGCTATTGCTATTGCTACTGCTATTGGTTTAGGACCAGGTGTGAACCCAAAGACTTGAGGAGTTGGGGCAGTTGTGTGAGTTGTCCTTCAGGGCAGCCGGTCAAGCAGTAAATGACGCCCTGGGGCCAAAATAGTCCTGGACTTGTGGGCACAATTTCCAGGGCTGAACGAGGAGGCCCTTCTTAAAGGAGCTTTTGGTATTTTTGCCGCTATTGTTAAGGAAATCACTGCAGATAAAAAGACTTCAGAGTATCTGGAGGAGGAAGCAACCGGGTTAAAGTCTGAGACCAGCTCCCTCCTTGGTTTGCAGGGAGAAGGGGTGGGAGGGGAGAAGCCCACCCAGATTACTTACTCCTGACCTTCGTGACTTCAGAATCCTACCTCGAAGGGCTGGCGCGCTTGCTCGGCTTCTGGGCCCAGCCGGGGAGGGGCAGCTGCTGGGACTTCTATCAATACCCCTGCCCCCCCCCAATAAAGGCCGGCGGAGGCCTGAATGCAACGGGCACCTGTCGCCTACCAGAAATGATGGACGAGGTCGAAATCTCACGCTCCCTCCATGGCCTGCTGGCCTCGTGGATGAAGTCCGGGTCCGTCTCCCACTCCTCCTCTTCCTCGGCCCCGTAGGGAAGATGCCCACCTGGGGGCGTTCCCAGCCGGTCTCGCCTGCTCCTGAAGGGACCTGGGGACTGAGGGCCCCTGGGGCGCCCGGAGTGGGCCATGTGGGGGACGGCCAGGAAGCCCCAGCGCCTGCAAAGGGCTCCAGGGTGGGGGGGGGACCCGGCTGCTGCCCTCCTCCCAGCCTGCCACTGAGCACTGTGATGTCACCACCGTGTCACGCAGCATTCTCTTCTTCCTCTTCCACATGGCAGCCTGGCATTCTTTGGGGGCAGCGGTGCCCAAAGCCAGAGGCCCCCCTCGGTTTGCAAAACAATTTTATGTGCCAAACTGGGAGTAACCTACCCCTGGTGCAGATGTTTCATCACCCAACTAGGGAACATCATCAGTGCAACAAAGGAGGAGGAGGAGGAGGAGGAGGAGGAGGAGGACTGTAGGGTTCTTGGTGCCCTCTGAGCTTGGTGGTTTTCTTGCAGACGTTTCATCACCCAACTAGGGAACATCATCAGTGCTACAAGGGAGTGGGGTTTGTATCTTCTAGCACTGATGATGTTACCCAGCTGGATAATGAGACGTTTGCAAGAAAGCAACTAAGCTCAGCGAGCCCCAAGGAGCCCCAATGAAAGAACTGGCTACCTGAGGCCTTCGAGGGCCTTCCACTTGCTGACATTTGAGGGGTGCTAGTCCTCTTGGTGTTCAGTAATTCCTTGAAGGCCTGGATCTGCACCAAGAAGCCGCATCTGGAGGTTGAGTGATTCTAGGTTTTTCCTCTGGACTTCTCTTTCCTTTATTTGAGCGGAGGTAGTCCTCAACTTACGGCCACAATTAAACCCCAAATTCCTGCTGCTAAGCAAGACATTTATCCGGTGAGTTTTGCCTCCTATTTCTTGCCGAACCTGTTAAATGAATCCCTGCCGTTCTTACGTCAGTCACCCTGTCGTTAAGCGAATCTGGCTTCCCCGTGGACTTTGCTTGCCAGAAGGTCGCAAAAGGGATCACCTAGCCGTGGGGCGCTGCGACCGTCGTAAATACGAGTCAGCTGCCAAGCGTCTTGAGTTTTGACCACCTGACCACAGGAAGGTTTGCAAGTATGAAAAAGGGTCCTAGGCCAGTTTTTTCCAGTGTTGTAACTTTGAAGGGTCACTCAATTAATTGTTGTAAATTGAGGACTATCTGTAATTGCTGTTTTTATTTATTTTTTTGCTTTGCCTGTCACCAGAGTGGCAATTGTGAGTTAGGTGGAAACATTGATTAATATAATAAATAAGCCAATACATCTTCAAGAAATATTAGGCCCCTCGTTCTAAAGGTCGCTCATCTTTCTCCGAGGAGCCATTTCAGAATAGAGTGGCAGAGCATAAATAATAAAGATTTAACTTCACGCTTTCCAGCTTTTCTTTGGACAATCTGGTGAGGATTTTAGCTTTGCATAAAAAGGTGACTCATTCATGGACTCATGAATGATGTTGTCATGGAGGGATCAACCTTAGGTAATCCTGAAGATTCCCCGAATGTCCTAAGATCTTTTTTAGCAACATCTGGTGGGAGGTTAATCCTTTGGTTCAGAAATCACAAGCTGGGAAGCTGCTCATGCAGAATAACAGAGTTGGAAGGGACCTTGGAGGTCTTCTAGTCCAACCCCTGCTCAAGCAAGAGACCCTATATAGCAGGGATGTTCGAACCTTGGAAACTTTAAATCAGTGTTTCTCAACCTTGGCAACTTGAAGATGTCCGGACTTCAACTCCCAGAATTCCCCAGCCAGCGAACGCTGGCTGNGGCTATTCTTCAAAGTAGCCCCAGGCAGGACAAGAAGCGATGGAGGGAAACTAACCAAGGAGAGAAGCAGCCAAAAACTAGAGGAGGAATTTCCAGATAGTGAGGATAATTAATCAGTGAAATGGCTTGCCCTCAACTTTAAGACTTGTGGACTTCAACTCCCAGAATTCCCATAGCCAGCCATTGGCTGGCTATGGGAATTCTGGGAGTTGAAGTCCACAAGTCTTAAAGTTCCCTGCTCTAGAGGTTTTGGGTGCTCCAATGGCCAAGAGACTAAAGAACCATTTGTCTAGAATGGCGTAGGGGTTCCTGCTTGAGCAGGGGGCTGGACTAGAAGACCTCCAGAGGTCCCTTCCAACTGTGTTATTCTGTTATTGCTCTGGTCTGCTGCCTATACTCAGGGCCCTCAGGCCCTTAAATCATTTACATTCCCCCCCACCACCACCAAGCCCTTAATCTGTCTCTCGCTCAATTTGCCCCAGCCAGCCACTCCCGGGGGGAGGGGGGGGGGGATTAGGTAGGAAGGCTGCAGAGGCCGGGAAATGTCTAATTGCTGGCGGCTCCTACAAAGGGAAGGGGGTCCCTCTTTGAAGTGGAGGTGGCCCAGGGCTGAGAAGAGCCCCCTCCTCCCCCTTTTGGTAACCCGATCTGCTTTGTGCCACCTCCAGGCCATTGGCTTCAACTCTGCCAGTGGGCTGATCCCGGAGGGAGGCAGGGCAGGAGCCCAGAGGGGGGCTTAGGTGTTCTGGGTGTGGGGCAGCCTCTAAGCCCTGCCTGACCAGCTTCCTTCTTCCTCTTCTGCCGCAGGGATTCCCAGGCAGACCTTGGCTGGAGACGACGGCGGGAAGCTCAGCCCAGCGCCCAAGTAGTGCCGCGCGGAGGGAGGAGACTCCAAGCCAGCAGGGTTTACTCCACCCCGCCAGCCAGCCGGCGACCGGTTTGTCCCGCGGTGCTCCGGAGCAGCTGGAGTGGAAGAGCCCCTTCTTGAAAGCAGCCGAGGGCTCCGAGGAAGGAAGGCGGCCGGAGGTTTCTCTGTATTTACCCGTCCACTTGTTAGCCCAGTCGCTGGAGGCGAGGGGAGCCCGTGCCTTGCGGGGAGACGGCGAGCAGAAGAGCCCCATCCAGGACTTGGTTCTGAAGCAGCTGCCGGATCCGGACGGTCGGGAGCAAAGGGAGGCTTGCAATGGGCGCCCAGCTGTGGATTGTGCCTGGAAGAAGATGCAGCCGTGGGCAGGGCCTGCCGGGGGCTCCTTGTCTGCCCGGGGGAGGCGGTGGGCCCCTCTCGGGAGTGTGACGGCCCTGCCCTCCGGCACCAAAGTCCTCTTTTAGGGACGCCAGAGGAGACACAGAGTGGAGGAGCGTTGCCAAGAGAGGGAGACCGCCGTCAGAGTCAGACCTCCCCTCTCCCCACGGATCACTGGAACTTTGACTGACCAAGAGGGGCTGAGACACAGGCTGCGTCGGCTGCTGGAGGGGCCAGGACCACCCCAAAGCATGTTGATGCTTGGCTCTTTTCCCCAGTTGCTCTTTGGGGGTCTTTTGAACATGGAGGACCCCTCCCTGCTTTAGCTGGAGACCCTCACCCTGCCTTAAGTGGGCAGCCGGAGTGCCTCCTGAGCCCCCTTCTAGGGCCGCTTCTGAAATCCTTTTTGTTCCAAGTGCCCATTTTCACAGGTTAGGCTTGGCACTGCCTGCCGGAGAGACTCCCTTGGGTGATTAAAAACCAGCTTTCTCCCAAATTTGTGAAGATGCACTTTGAGCGGCCCGGGTGTCGCCCTCTTCCTGCCAGGCTCCTCTGAAGAGTTGGAGAGAGAGAGAGAGAGAGAGAGAGAGAGAGAGAGAGAGAGAGAGAGAGCCCCTCGCCCCGTCCGCCCCCCGTCCATCATTTCCAAATGCTTTGAACCAGGAGCCGAAGGTCGAAGCCCCTGACTTTGCCCAGGCATGGCAGACCACCTGGAGCTGCTGGCAGAGATGCCAGCGGTGGCCCGGATGGGCACCCAGGAGCGGCTGAAGCATGCCCAGAAGCGCCGCACCCAGCAGCTGAAGAAGTGGGCGCAGTTTGAGAAGGACGGGCAGGGCAAGAAGGCCAAAGGGCAGAAGAAGAGGCGGAGGGCCACCCAGGACAGGAAGGTCGTCTTCCCCGAAAACGTCCGGCTTCTGGAGGCTGCCAGCCGCAACGATGTGGAGGAAGGTAGGTGGGGGAAACGCCCCTTTTGCGCAGGTCCCAAGAGCATCCGAAGAGTTGCGCCCCTAAGAATTTCCCCGTTCAGGTCAGTGGCCCTTTGGACACGTTTGGAAGGAAGGGATAGAGGTAGTCCTCCACTTACGACCACGATTGAGCCCAACATTTCTGTTGTTAAGTGAGACGTTTGTTCAGGGAGTTGTGCCCCATTTTTACGACCTTTCTTCCCACGTTAAGTGAATCACTGCAGTTAATGAGTTAGTAACCTGGTTGTTAGGTGGGTCCGGCTTCCCCATTGGCCTTGTTGCTCAAACACTTGCAGAAGGTGATGGGACCGTCACCCGGGGGCCTCCGGATTGTGATCCCCTGATTGTGGAGATGCCACAAAGGTTGTAACTGTGAAACAATGGCCCTCAGTCCCTTTTTTCAGGGCCCTTGTCCCCTTTGAACAGTCAGCAAATGAATTGTTGTAAATTGTTGCATTCTCCTTGAGTGACATCTGCTGTGAACTCGGTGTGGCGTCAGGAAGGGCATCCGGCCAGTAAGCACTCAGCTCCAGAATTTCACCCCTGGAGTCTGTGCATACACACACACAAATGTCAGGCCCACAACCAGAAAGAGGCCTTATAAAGGGGGAATGCACACGCATGTGCACCCTGGGAGATGATGAACTTCCAGTTTCCCACCCAGGCTTTCGGTTCCTGGTGCGCATGACGATCAGCCGGCCCGCCCACATGCCCACGCCAGAAAACGTTCCAGTCTCCAGCCCTGGAATGTAGAAAGGCCAGCGGATCATTGCGCCTGAGCCAGAAACCCCAGAGAGGAATGGGCACCGGCACATGTGCCAGGAGACATGGCTCCTCCGTGTGTCCCTTTGATTTGCCATCACGGTTCTAGACCCACAGACACTTCCTATGGTTCCCTGGCAGGTGGGTGTTTCTTTACCTCCCATGGCACCCATCAGCCACCCATCCCCTTCGGTCCCTGAGAACGCCCGAGGGGCCCGGTTGGGAGGAGGGCTGTCCTGGGGGATGCCAGCTGATGCTGGAGGAAGGGGCTCTGAGAGCAGGGAAGGAGAACCTGAGCTCAGGGTTGGAATGAGGGTCCCTGGTGCTCTCTGAGCTGGATGGTTGGCTTGCAGACGTTTCATTGCCCAACTAGGTAACCTGATCAGTGCTTGAAGGGAGTGGGGTTCGCAGAGAGGAGGAGGAGGAGGACTGTGGAGTCCTTGATGCTCTCTGATCTTGGTCGTTTTCTTGCAAACCTTTCATGACCCTTCCTGGGATGGTCCTATGAGGTCTCCTGCCTTGGGCCCCAAAGCCCCTTCTAGCCTTATGGAATTAGGAGAGCCAGTTTGCATAGTGGTTAAGGCTCTGGGCTAGAAAGCGAGAGGCTGTGAGTTCAAGTCCCGCTTTAGCCATGAAAGCCATCTGGGTGTCCTTGGACCAGGCTCTCCGTCTCTCCGTCTCCCCCGTCCCTTCTTTCTCTAGCTCTCTTTCTTTCTCTCTTCTCTCTTTCTCTCTCCCCATTCCCTCTCTCCTCTCTTTCTCTAGCTCTCCTCCTTTCTCTAGCTCTTTCCTTCACTCTCTTTCTCTAGCTCTCCTTTCTCTAGCTCTTTCCTTCTCTCTTTCTCTAGCTCTCCTTTTTCTCTCTTTCTCTTTCCTTCACTCTCTCTTTCTCTAACTCCTCTCTTTCTCTCCGCCTCCCTCTCTTTCCTTCACTCTCTCTTTAGCTCTACTTCTTTCTCTCTTTCCTTCTCTTTTTCTCTAGCTCTCCTCCTTTTTCTCTCTCTCTCTTTCTTTCTCTTTCCTTCTCTCTCTCTTTCTCTAAGTCCTCTCTTTCTCTCCCCCTCCCTCCCTCTCTTTCTCTTTCTTTCTCTCTTTACTCCTCTCTCTCTTTCTCTAATGCCTCTTTCTCTCTTCCCCCTCCCTCTCTAGCTCTCCTCCTTTCTCTCTCTCTCTCTTTCCTTCTCTCTCTTTCTCTAGCTCTCCTTTCTCTCTTTCTTTCCCTCTTTCCTTATCGCTCTCTTTCTCTAACTCCTCTCTTTCTCCCCCCCCCCCAATTCACCTTACAGGGTTGTTGTTGTTGTTGTTGAAATAGGAGGAGGCCGGAGCATTAGGCGTGTGTGCCTCATTGAGTTATTTGTAAAAATAATGAAGACAGGATGTATATACGTATATAAACAAACACACAAAGGTGGAACGGCTGCCTTCCTTTCAGGCCAGAGACGGGGTTGCCTCCTTCTGCCTGCTCCTCCCTTGGTAACCTTTGAGGGAGACTGAAACAAACATAACCAACAGGCTGGCAGAAAGAAAGAAAGAAGGAAGGAAGGAAGGAAGGAAGGAAGGAAGGAAGGAAGGAAGGAAAAAGGAAGGAAGGAAGGAAAAAGGAAGGAAGGAAGGAAAAAGAAAGGAAGGAAGGAAAGAAAGAAGGAAAGAAAAAAGGAAGGAAGGAAAAAGGAAGGAAAAAGAAAGAAAGAAGGAAGGAAAGAAAAAAGGAAAGAAAGAAGGAAGGAAGGAAGGAAAGAAAGAAACAAAGAAGGAAGGAAGGAAAGAAAGAAAGAAGAAAGGAAGGAAAAAGAAAGAAAGAAGGAAAGAAAGAAGGAAGGAAAGAAGGAAGGAAGGAAAGAAAGAGAAAGAAGGAAGGAAGGAGGGAAAGAAAGAAAGAAGAAAGGAAGGAAAAAGAAAGAAAGAAGGAAGGAAGGAAAGAAAGAAGGAAAGAAAGAAAGAAGGAAGGAAAGACAGAAAGAAGGAAGGAGGGAAGGAAAGAAAGAAGGAAGGAAAGAAAGAAGGAAGGAAAGAAAGAAAGAAAAAGAAAGAAAGAAAGAAGGAAAGAAAGAAAGAAAGAAAGAAGAGGACGGAGCAGAGACATAATTACAGTTTACTCCTGTTTTAGAGGCTTCCCCAAGGAAGCAAAGCAGTAATTTCTTTGTGGGGACAAACAAGAAGCCTTTTGTTTTATGTATCTGCCAGAATTAGGGCAGGCACATGGGCATGGAGGTGGGCACGGCCCGTGTTGCAATGTTTAAGTCTTTCCCTCCCCCAGGGGCATCGGGATACAAGAGGTGGGTTGTGCCCATTACGGCCAGAGAATTTTTGGTGGCTCTGTGGTTTTTTTTTTTTAAAATAGAAACAGATGCTGTAAGATTATGATTGTCCATCAATGCCCGGGTCTCCTATATAGATGGCACTTATGCACACGAAGTGGCACACGAAGCCATATTGCCTGGCATGCGCTACTTTGCAATCTGTCTTGCAGTTGTTGTTACTAACACGGCCGTTAAGTGAATCTGGCTCCCCCATTGCCTTTGCTCATCCAAAGTGGTTCATCATGTGACCCTCGGACACCGCAACTGTCATAAACGTGAGTCGGTTGCCGAATTTTGATCCTGACAGCATGGAGACACTGCAGTGGTTGTTAAGCGTGGAAAACGGTCGTAAAGTCACTTCTTTTTTTAAGTGCCATTGTAATTTTGAACGGTCACTGAATATAGTAAGTTGAGGAATACCTGTAATTTATTATTTGGAAACCAATAATTCATCCTTCTTAATAAGGTGGCTTTCCGAACATTTTCACCATTTAATCTGAGTCTTTTGCCTTAGGAAAAAATAACTAAAAAAGAAAGGAAAGAAAACCATTTAGTGGTTTTAGGGATGGAAGAAACAGAAGCAGAAATAGACGAGGCCTTCTGTGACGCTTGTGGCATTTGAAAGAACCCTAGCATATATTTACAGCCAGTTGAAGCTTGGAGGAAAGGAGAGGATTGAAGCCACCCTTGGCCCCACTTTTCAGCTCAAGAGAAAGCAGAAGGTTTAGTACAGTGTTTCTCAACCTTGGCCACTTGAAGATGTCCGGACTTCAACTCCCAGAATTCCCCAGCCAGCATCCGCTGGCTGGGGCATTCCGGGA